ATCTGGTCGTGTTCTGAATCTGAATGTATGGTGGACTGTCAGTGACATGTGGTGCGTTTGTGTTACTGTTGTGTTCTTTGATCTGGTCTTGTTCTGAATCCGAATGTGTGGCAGTAACAAGTTCTGTTGTTTGTGAGTGCTGTGTAATGTGTTGATCTGACTGATTGTTGATTAATAATATATATATATGTTGTGTTGTGTTTTTCTTTGATCTGGTCTGAATCTGAATGTGTGGCTTATCTGACTAGTTCTTTTGTTCTTCTGTGTTGTCTCTAGTGTGTATGTAAACTATTAAAACTAACTTTAACTAATAATATTAATAACTAATGTGATAGCTATACAATCTCTTCTATGAATATGTGATTTTTCTTCTTCTATGTGTGTGTGAGTGTGTGTGTGCAATATGTGCTTCTCTTCACAGTGATGGATCACACTGCCAGGGAAAACACTGAGCTTTCTTTTTTAAAAGTATTGCAAAAAAAAGAGAACAAATATAAATTGAAAGAAATGAATTGGATAAGTATTAAGTAAAGAAATTCTAAGATAAACTAAGCTAAGCTATATTCAGTCCTTTCTAAGAACAAAAAGGCCAGGCAACTGACTGACTAGGAAGCAAGCCAGGCAGTCCAGTACCTTTCTGATGCTGTTGCTGAACCAGCTTACAAAAGGCACAGCAAGCCTGCAGACAGAGGTTTTTATGCTGTTTCTATGTCCCTCCCCCAGACACTGTGATTAGAAGGGCAGTCAGAGCCAAATTACACTCACTGTGTAGCAGGAACTGAACTAACATAGCTGCTGTTAACAGAGTGTAATAATAGTACAATATAACCATGTTAGTCTTGTCCTGTAAGCAACTTGAAAACTCCATTTTGTATCCTTCTGCTGGACATAAGTAAATGAACTTTGTGTAGCCTTTATGTACAAGTGTGTGTAAAAGGGTGAATGGTGAGAGAATGGCATAGAGATGGGAGAAGACGAGTTATGGTTTATGTAAGCAACAAGGTGCCAAATGTAAGTTACCAGTCAGTAAACTAATTAATGAATGGCTGAAGAATCCCTTTGAGGACAAGGACAAGAGAGATAACGAGAAGGAAGAATGCACACATCCTGCCAGACGGGCAGCAATAACACTCCAAGGTTGAAATACCAACTTTGATGACCAAACTGACCTCAGGCTGAGATAAGCTGAAGATGAATGAAGAACAACCCCCCAAAAAGAAGCTGGTTATGGAAAAACCTCAAAGTGCTGAAACAAAGGATGCCAATCCCTATAAAAGAAGACTTCAAAAATGCCAAGTTGGGTGAGTCTCTCTCTCTACTGCTGTTTCGTCAGAGCACAGATGCATCTGTTTCACCCTGCTCCAAAGCTGCTATCTATAGAATCTTTCTCTCTCTCAGTAAGGCCAGGGGCTGGCCACCCAGGGCCGTTATTGAACAACTGCTGGTGGTAACTATAATGTCTGAATGAAATGGTTGTTTTGTGTGTCTGTGTGTACGATACATGATATGTATGATGATTTGTGCATGTCTATATGAGTGGTGTGTCTGAACCTCCATGTCTAATTCATGTAATCGATGAACATGGAATATTGCCTTATCCCCCTTTATAAGGTCTCGTTCCTAATTTGGCAATTGGAATTTAAAGTAACAACTGGCCAGCTAGAGATGTCAGTCCTTCCCCCCACTGCTCCTCCTCCCTCTTCTAAGTTTCTATTTCCCCATAAAGACTGCCCTCCAAATCTTTTCAGAACTCAAATTGGGCCAAATCTTCTCCAAACTGACTCATGAACCGAAGCTTCACACAGCCCTAGTAAGCCTGTAATAGAAGAGTTGGGGAGAACATGAAAGTTATTCTAGGTCTAGGCTAGCTGCTAGTGACTTTATGGTGAAGACACAACAGGATTTCTCTTTAGGGTTTACTTATTCCAAAAGCCTCAGGGCACGTGCAGCAAGATTGGTTTGCAGATTCAGTTTATGACATGAACTAACAAGACGGACCCATGTGCTAACAGTTCCTACACATTACATGTAAGAAACAGATCTGGTAACAGACTTCTCCCAAAGAAACCTGTAATTATTATATATCTGCTGAAGCAGGCAAAACATCTGGGAATGAAGCTTTTCAGACCAGAGGTAGTGGCTTACAAGTTGCAGGGTCAAAGCTGCTTTCTGTTTAGGGACAAAGTGTCCAAACACTCAAAAAGTCAAGTTATCATCTGGACATCCTAGAAAAAACAGTAGGGCAATCTAAAGGAAGGAGATCAAATTAACCCTTCCCTAACAAAGTTTTTTGCTGATGAATTTTCTTTCACTTGTAGAAATTTGGGATGTGCCCTGGAGATGATGTGCACAGGGGCTAAACTTGAAGTATGGCTCTGATGCTTTCACCAAGACATATCTTACAGGGAAGTATGAATCCTAAAACAAGCATTTAGTCCCAGAAGCACTGGACGGAGGTCTATTAGAAAAGGACTTGAATTGTTCTTCTATTCCACGTGGTTATTCCTGTTTTACTGGGGGCAGGAACCAGAACCCAACGACCCCCTGCTCCAGCTTCTGTGCCTGAAGAGTGTGGGACCCAAGTCATTCATTGGCTGGGGGAATGCCCAATTCTGTTCAAGAGGCAGGCAGTAGCACCCCTACTGCATGAGGCATAATCTCAGATGTAAGGTGAGGCATTATGGAGGTCCCTCAGTTAACTTCAAGTCAGGTGTGTAAGCCCTAGAGATGGGTGGGAGTGCAGAAACACCCTCTGCTTTAGAATTTCTGTAGGTGATTACTAAGTGCTCATGGGCTGTCTAGATGGCACCCAGGGCGGTGCCTACCGTCTCCCCATTCTCTGCACACAGAGGCAATGCACCCAATGCTGAACACCTCTTCACAGGCACCAGCGTCTCCTCATTGCCTGCATAAATGTTCTACACCCATTCACACTGTTCCACCCTCCCGAGATAAGAAGCCTAAGGTTTGGGTGATTGCATCACTATGCATTATGAAAGGAGAATGTCTACATGTGCATTAATGTGCTTTAATTAGTGTGCATTAAATTTAGTGCCTGTAGTAACAGGTACTAACTTAATGGGCGGTAATCAGCAGTACTGTACAGTAACCCCGGCACACATCTTTGAAGTGGCACATTAGTGCATTAGCATGGCTTTCACCATTATGTGCAAACTAGTAGGGTTCTGCAAAGCAGGCCCTATTCTATTGGTTTTGGATTTGGCGTGAATCAGGGTCAGTGATTCAATTCGTTGATTCGGACCACTGTCCCTGATTCAATTTGGACGAACCTGTAGTTTCGATGCTGATTTGGAGAATCAACAATTCACACATAGATATAGGTTTAAATGTTTCTTCTATTTACTTCAAGGTACCAGTGCTGTGGAGCTTCTGACAGGAGCATAGGGGGGCCCTCGCATGCTCAGCAGCGAACCCGGAGGTACCCCCCAGACCCAGGAGGAACCAGTTGCTGAGCCAGAGAGGTGCAGGGGGGCCTCCCACATGCTCCCCAGCAGAATCAGAAGTGCACTGGAAATGCTTCTGGTCTACTTCTTGGTCTGCTGCCAAGTGTGCTGGGGGGCTCCCTGCACTCCTGTGGGACACTCCATGCTTCCCAGCATTGCAGCATTAACGAGCCACCTGGTACATTGAGGTATGTAGACAAAGCATTTAAAGATGTGTATATGTCTGAATCTCTGAATCTTTCTGAGTCTCTCCAAATCGATTTGGAGGGTTCCAGTTTGATTCAGAGAGATTAAAGGGTCTCCTGATTTAATTCAGATTTGGAGATTTGGCCACTGAATTGGGCCAAATCTCCACTGAATCGAATCAGGGACCAAAGCTTCGCACAGCCCTACTAACTAGCAAATTGCCAGTCATGAATGATGAGGGGTGGGGAGATGGGCTAGGGACAGAAGGCTGCATCCGGCTCCCTCTGCCTCGGGCCAGGGCTGTGACCACTCCCTGCCCCCTCCCCCCCCCCGCCACTTTGGGCTGGGGCCACTCCCTGCTTCCCCCTGCTGCTTTGGGATGGAGCCAGAGCCAGATCCAGGGCTGCAGATGTTCCCCACCTCCCCCTGCTGCTTCAGACCATGGCTGGGGTCAGGGCCTGCTGCCACAGCACCAATCACAGTGGCAGTCACAGTTGTGGCTCCCCTCTTCCCCACTGCTTCCCCTCCCTGCCAGCTGTTGTCAGCACCACTGACCTCACTCCCCACCCCCACTCCATCCCCTCCTTTATGGTGGTACTTCAGTCCCAATCATCCCTCTTTAGCTTCAAGGAGCAGGGGCGGGCTGGGTGAGCAGGGGTTACCCTCTGGCCCTTCAGTCCCCACTGTAATGGCAGTACTCTGCTGTCTGTCTCTCTCTGTGTAGAGCACTGTGATTGGATGCTGAGACAGGCAATCAGAGTCCAAATAAAGCATTATGGACAGACAGACAGAGAGACAGACTAAGGCTTTTATAATATTAGAATTCATAGTAGAATAAATCTATGGTGCTTTTAGCATCTTGTGTGGATGCAGCATAGGAAATCTTACAAATATGTGTTTTGGGGAAATGACATATGGCACTGCTGCCACCAATGACATGAAGACACAGGGTTCCAGAAAGGCCCAGGGTTCCTCCTTCTGCTTAGGATGGATTTGTCTCAATATTAAAATGCTTTCAATCAAACCAGGGTGGCAATAGCTGGAGAGATTTGAGAACTGGCATTATCTCTCTGGAATGTAGAAAGTGCAGTATTAACAGTCCCACTTGGAGACCAAATGAGAGGACCAGGTGCTCTAAACGAGAAAGAATAGGAAACACCCATCTGGAGTAGGAGGAAGGACCAGGGCACACAAACATGTTCCAGGGCTGAATTTCATCTCTGTATAGAAGTTCAGTGGGAATTGAGTCATGCTGGGTGTGGGCATCTGCACGGGAAGGAATATCACCAGCAGGTTTGCAAATAAGGAAGAGAGAGGGGAAGAAACCAAAGAGGCAAATATTATGCTGCACAGTAATTTTAATGCATGGAAGAAATTGAGTATACCGACACACAAGGGATACAGAGGAGACCGCAAATACTCCCAAGGATTTTCAAAGGGCCACATGTATGGGGGAGGGAGGCTTCTAGCAATGTGAAGCCCTCACATTAGAGGTACTGAGTGCTTAGCACAGCTCCAAGCCACGTCCCTTGGGTCAGCCATGAATCTGTATCTTGCTTCTCATGTCCACGTTGCTCCAAGTGCCATGGATATTTGAGATGGATTTAGCATGGACAGCTACTTCCAGAGCTGCCCTTAGAGCACCACCAGCGGGGTATGGACCAACAGCAACCATGCCAAACCAGCCTTCCGCATTGGTCACAGCAACAACAGGTATATGGTGGCCTTCTACAGTAGTGGGGAAAACAGTCAGACTGGCCCGGGTAAGACAGGTCTTCGATCGTATCCAGGCTGTCAATCATCTTGGTGTGCTGGCGGCAAACCTGAAACACAGCAGGGAGCAGAGGAAACATGACACGCCTGCAGGACTGGTGCGATCAAGGCTCAAAACTTGGGTGTGACTGTCAGGGAAATCTGGTAGGGACACAGAAGTGGGAGTTGGAGGGGACCTCTCTGCCATTGTCGGTGCTCTCCTTTCCTCCCCCTCATTTCTTTGCTTCACTTGCCCTTAAAAACAGCTTTGAAGCCTTCACACTTTCTTTGCATGCAAAATGCTGGCTGGAAAGCAGGCTCCAGGGCTGTGTGGACTCGCTGCAGTAGGAGTGGGGGAGGGAGCCTTTACTCCAGACCTAGGCAGCCCCTGGCCCAATAGTGCAGACACAGTCCTGGGACGTGGGGAATGTGCATTCACTTCAGAACCCAGAACCCAAATCTTCCTCTTTCTCTCTCTGACCACTGTGATCTAGGGGGGCAAAGGTGGATTCCACCACTGATATTTGTAGCACTACAGGAAAGATTTGTCTTTAGGCAGTTTCCAGTTGTGCATTCAACAATCCTGGGCAAAGACTGGGCCACAGGGAATCACCCCAGATGGGGAGAGAGGCAGGATGTTGGATATTGCTCCATATCCTCCAGGCTTTGAAAAGGCTGAACATGCTGCCTGGTTTGGATTAGACGTCTCTTCATTTGATCTAAGGGGGTCCTGGACACCTAACTCAGATTTAGATTGTCACTCCTGACTGCACACACCTACACTTTGCACAAGACATGGCACAGCATCACCTCAACTGGTCACTCTTTCACTCTGGCCATTAGTGTCCCAAATGCCCTTGAATTGCCAGCCTCAGCTGTGGGCTCCCTAATCCCAGCAACCCAACAACTGGAACAAAAGCACCAAAAACAAGGGAAAGACCCTGAGCATGGCAGAAGGTGCCGTGCAGTAAGACCCAGACTTTAGTGATGGTTGTAAAGACAGTCATAGAAAGGCCAAAATCAGGGATGTGACGACCTACTCCCTCTGCTTTTGGTCACATGTTGGGACTCAGTTCTTCTTCTCTGTCCCTTGCTCCAGTCCCCTTAAGCTGCTTTGCTGACCAGCCCCTCTCCAGCCCCCTTATCCTTTCATTTCTAATTGCACACACAAAAAACCAGTGCATCAGAACAGAAATTCTGTTAATCTTTGTCCTGTCCTTAATAATACCAAGTACCACTTGCTTCTGAAAGCAGGAAGAACACTTGGAAAGGATGCACTGTGCAATTTGGTTTGAGCGCAACTAAGTTGAAAGCTGGGTGTGAAGTTTGTCAGTCTCAATGATTTAAACACCCAATACATACTAAAAAAGAAGAGTGAGAATCCCGAATTCCCATGCGTCTGTCAAATTGCTGCCTTTCCTTGGAAAGCTTTGGCAGTTCTTCAGTGCTCCTTATTACACAAAAACATCCTAGAGTATATGTAGAAGAAACAGTCCTAATGTTAATAGATTGTTTAACACAATATCACCACAGTAAAAGAGATTGAGTTGAGTTGGACTTCCCTGATTTACCACGGAGAGTAAAGCAAGGGAAGTGAGTAACGAGCACAGGTTTACATGTCCTTTTATACAGCTTCTGAAATGTCGTGGTGCATTCAAAACACCCATTTTTCCCTTCTCAGATGCAAAACATTCTGGTTTGGATGTCACGCCTTCCATTGCAATAATTGTTTTCCTGGTTGCTTGTGATTATTAATTTTGTCCCCTGCCTCCCGGTAGTCCACATGCACACTGCATGTATATACCATCCTAAACATTTCTGGGACAACTACATTCCTAGCCTTATGGAGATGACTTAATAGGTGTCCCACAAGCAGGCAGGGGAAAGTTTGCTGAAAATCAAGGTTTCTTTTGCGGGGGGAAATTCTTCAGCACTTTGAACTGGGCATTGAATTTGATTCACAACAGAAGCCAATATTTTCACTGTTGACCACAAAGGCAGCACTAACAGGCTGTTTTCTACACATTTTGACATTGAAATCTTCAAGAACATTTCCATAAATTTAGGTTTTTTTATAACAGTGCCACAGAAGACCCAAAAGAGCCAAAGCAGTGAAAGGAAGGAAGAAGGGGAAGGTGTGTCCCATAGCTCCCTACATACACTCAGATGTTCAGAGTGTTCAGAGTCACTCAGATGCTGGGTTGTACCTTAGAGAAGGGTTTTCGCTTTCGCCATCCCCTCTTCTGACAATCCCACCACTCTATTATATAGTCTAGAGTAAATAATGTTATCTCGAACTAAGGATTTGGTTATCTCTTATCTCAAGCTAAGAATTTGGGGATGAGTTGTGACCCAACACACCTGGTGTTTACCATGTTCCACTGCATTACTACATGCTACTATCTAGGCTCATGGTTCAGTCACAAACCAAGAAGCTACGTGCTATAATACCGGCCTACTATGGAGTCAGCATACAAAACTCTTGTTGTGATCATTAAGCAAAGCCCTTACTATTACAGTCCTAGAGGAACTAGTGGGATGTTTTAAGGAGAACATGACTTTCCCATTAAGATTTTATCTTTACAAACTGTCAACTGCAAAGGAGAAGTAGATTTTTTTTTTATTTGAGCAACCTGTAGTGTCCTAAAACTTTCTACCTTGTACTATCTCCTGTGTATTTGACATCACTGCTAGCAGCTGAGAAAACTTCAGACTTGCTTTTTCTTCAGCAGAATTCTCCTCTTCCTGTACAAAGAAGGAAAAGTGAAAGAAGATGATGTACTTGGTCATTTTTCACTAGAGAAGATGGACCAGGAGAAGCTCAACCCAAAACAATAAAAGGCATGAAAGCAAAACATGGACATGGACTTGAAATAATTATACTCCTGGTCTTGACACATTTAGAAATTCAAAATGCCAAACATATTTAATAGCACATAGCATAAAGTTATCTTGCAACACAATCTCACAGGCCTCACTCAGTTGCAGGTTCATGTGTAGCAGTCAGAAATGTTAAATTTGTTAACTAATATACTGGCAATAACATGACTTCACCTCATCCTGTCACAGTTTAGTTTAGCTGAAAATAGGGATAATAACAGACACCATGGAGATTCTAAAATCTCAGAATTTAGAAAATAAAAGTGCTTCATTAACTGTCATTAAAGCTGTTACAGGGTAGTGATCATTACCTCATTACAAAGTTCATAATTTCCTACTGGAAGACACCCCTGTATGTAGCAATAGAGACATTTTAAATATGCAAATCAAGCTCACTCATTTTTAAGCTTTAATTAGGTCACATGTTATTGTAGCCTTGGAATTTGGAGCTTTCTGAATTGCATTTTAAAACCAGTGCCTGATTTCTCTCTCTTTTTTACAAACAATTTTATTTCAGACTTCACAGGTGACAGCTGCTAGTGGTGACACATAACACAGCACTTAACTTCTAGGGATCTTGAAAGAGAAAGAGAGAGAGAGAGAGAGGGAGGGAGGAAGGGAGAGAATAATTCTCCCAAATTTAAATAAGAATAAAAAAGACCTGTGCTTCAGCTTTCCTATTGGTGGGCTGCTCGTAGGCTGCCTTGATGGTCCCCAGGGGTTGCCTACCATCTCCCCATTCTCTGAATCCCTCCCCACTGGCACCTGTGTCTCCTCATTATCTACATAAAGATCTTAAAGCCAGTCACACTGAACCATCCTCCTGGGATAAGGAGCCTAAGGCTTTGGTCATTGCATCACTACGCAACATGAAAGGGCAATGCCTACATGTGCATTAATATGCTTTCATTAGTTGCATTAAGTTTAGTACCTGTATTAACAGGTACTAACTTAATGTGTGGTAATCAGCAATACTCTACAGTAACGCTGGTGCACATCTTTTAAGTGGCCCCAATGTGCAGGGGTTTAATGCTACTGTGCATGAATGCATTAGGCTGACTTTCACCATTATGCACTAATGTGCAGTACAATTAGTCTTCTGCGCTTTTAGCATCTCATGTAGATGCACCAGAGGAAACTTTTCACATCTGAGTTCTGGAGAAATGGAGAAGGGCACCACTGCCACCAAAGACATGAAGACACAGGCCCGTGGCAGGCCCCGGGATTCTCCTTTTTGACTGACATTGCAGGATTGGAGATCAGCTCTGCTTAGCATGGATTTGCCTTAATACTGACATGCATTTAACCAAACCAGGGTGGCAATAGCTGGAGAGATTTGAGTGCTGGTATTAACTTTCTCGAATGTAGAAAGCGCATTATTATCAGTCATGGAGTCCATCTGAAAAGGACCAGGTGCTCCATATGAGAAAGAACAGCTAGCACCCCATGTTGAGTAGGAGGAAAGAAAAGGGCACACAGACATACACACAGACATAATCCAGGGCTGATTTTCATTTCTGTGTAGGACTTCATTGGGAATTGAGTCATGCTGGGTGCTGGGCTCTGCACAGATGGGAATTTCATCAGCAGGTTTGCAAATAAAGAACGGAGGGGAAAAGAACCCAGGGTGCAAATATTATTCTGCAGAGTAATTTTCATGCAGAGAAGAACTCGAGTATACAGGGATAGAGGGGAGAGAGCAAATACTCCCAAGGTTTTCCAAACGGCCACAACCAGGATTCTAGGCCTGGCCCATTTGTACAAGGAGTGCTTCTCTCTTTGCAGCTGCTGACTTTTACGTACCAAGCTGCTTTCATCTATTTATTTACTCCTTTTCTGCCTGAATAATATCACATGAGGTAAAGCACCAGGTAAGGAGGGCAATAGGTAGCTTTGCCAACCTGCAGTTTCTGTAGTCAAGTGTCAAGTTAGAAAAAAAGGAGAAAAGAGCATCTCATCCCTGTTGACACCAAACCCCTTCTACACTACTGTGGCTGCCAACCTGCAGTTTCTGTAGTCAAGTGTCAAGTTAGAAAAAAAGGAGAAAAGAGCATCTCATCCCTGTTGACACCAAACCCCTTCTACACTACTGTGGCTGTGTCATGTGGTCTGCAATGGATTGCAAGTGGACTCTAGGGAAGCAGAGGTTTCCTTTTAAATGACAGCACAGCATGAAGAAGACTTAATCATGCTTAGCAATGCTAAGTTCACACAATGGAGGTACTGAGTACTTAGCTCTGCTACAAGCCATGTCCTTTCAGTCAGCCATGAATATGTATCTTGGTTTTCATGTCCACATTGTTCCAGTGCCATGGATATTTGCACTAGATTTAGCAGGGCCAGTGCTTTCCAGGGCTGTTTGTATGAGACCACGATGCGGGTATGGACCAGCAGCAACCACGCAGAATCAGTCTTCCACCTCGGTCATAGCAACAACACTTATATGGTGGCCTTCTAAGGGAGGAGGGCCTGGTGAGACAGGGCTTCAGTCATGTCCAAGCTGTCAAATATGTGCTGGAGGTGAACGTGAGACACACAGAGCAGAGGAGCAGAGGAGACATGTCACATCTGCATTTCTGGTGGGATCAAGGGTCAAAACTTGGGTGTGACTCTCAGGGCAATCTGGTAGGGTTCTAGTGACTGGGGGATGGAGCAGGGAAATGCTGACATTAGCCCTCCTTTTTGCCTGCGTCGCTGCTCTTCTTTCCTCCACCTCATCACTTTGCTTCACTTGCCCTCAGCCTCTCCCCCAAACAACAGCTTTGAAGCCTTCTCACTTTCTTTGCCTGCAAAATGCTGGCTGGAAAGCAGGCTCCAGGCCCCTGTGGGGTAGCTGCAGCAGGAGTGGGGGAGGGAGCCTTTAGTCCAGGCCTAGGCAGTCCCTGACCCAATGGTCCAGGCACAGTCCTGGGACGTTGGGAATGTGCATTCACTTCAGGCCCCAGAACCATAGTCTTCCACTTTGTGTCTCCTGCCACTGGGATCTGGGGGCAAAGGTGGATTGCACCCCTGATGCTTGTTGCATTGCAGGAAGGATTCAGCCTTAGGCAGTTTTCAGTTAAGATCCCACAATACTAAGCAAAGCCAGGGCTGTGGGGAATCCTCCCAGTTGGGGAAAGTGGTAGGATGTGGATATTGCTCCCTGTCTTTTGCAGTTTGCAGTGGCTGACCATATTGCCTGGCTTGCATTCGAGGAGCTTGAGTCTCTTCATTTAACATAAGGGGCCCTGGACACCTTACTGGCCATTAGTGTCCCAAATTCCCTTGAAATGCCAACCTCACCTGTGGCTCCCTAATTCCTGCCAACAAACCAATGGCAACAAAGGCAGAAAACCAAGAGAAAGACCATAAGTATTGTCACCTGTGGCTCCCTAATTCCTGCCAACAAACCAATGGCAACAAAGGCAGAAAACCAAGAGAAAGACCATAAGTATTGCTGAAAACCATTGAAGAGGATGATAAATTTTAAAATTTTAAACTTAAGGTAAATATCTGTGAGAGATCAAGCTGAATTCGACATACCTGGCTCACCAAAGAGAAAAGAAGGGAAGCGGTTAAAAACCCACACCTGTGAGCCCTTTTATACAGTTCTCAGACCGCCGGGAGCATTTGCAGTATCTTCTGTATCTGAGACCCTTACTAGTGACAGAACATGTGTGTGTCAAGTGTGCCAACCCTCCAAATGCTGTAATTCTTCCTCTCTCTGTTTGCAATTATTGTGTTTTTGATTTAGCTTATCACTGGCAAATTACCAATGTGGCAGCATCAGGTTTCAGAACAAAAGACTATTGCTGAGATGCCTGCTGGCGATATCTGGGGATGGTTGTAGGAGAAAAGAAAGCATGGGGTCTTATGAAAGGTCGCATTTACAGTTGTAAAGCTGTATGACAATGAACATCCTCAGCTTTTGTATGCCTAACAAGGACACTTGTTGGCAACTTGATATGTTCAAAAGAGAAAGCCTAGGAAGATATGCAAGAGAGAGAGAAAAAACAATTCCTGCTCATCTGGGAGCTGCAGAGGGAGAGGGGCAGGGGAGAGAACAGCGTGGTTTTCTTCTATTTCAATATTCTTCCCCTTTACATGTCATCTACTGCTGGAAGACACCTGCAACCTTCTGGATGGACCAATGATCTGTCCAGTGCGGCATTTTTGTGTTTATATTGAGGTGAAGTGTCCTGAGATGACTGAGCTGATCTGAACACTGCCCAGACTTGGTGTGTGGTAGGATCCACATTTTGCAAAGGGCTTCCCACCCATCTACTGCTGGAAGACACCTGCAACCTTCTGGATGGACCAATGATCTGTCCAGTGCGGCATTTTTGTGTTTATATTGAGGTGAAGTGTCCTGAGATGACTGAGCTGATCTGAACACTGCCCAGACTTGGTGTGTGGTAGGATCCACATTTTGCAAAGGGCTTCCCACCCCTTTACAGAACAACACTCCTACAACATTTTCATTTAATTTGAGGAAAAAGAGTCTTTCCCACATTCAAGTGCCCTAGAAGTTGATTGTCGTACTAAGTGATACCACCAGAAGATCTGGCCTGCGAACTTTTAAATATTTGGCCAAGAAAGAGATACAAACCTGCTGATCATTTTTAAATGCAAATTAACCCCCCCCGAAATTCCAAGGCTATTATTACTCATGACCTAATTAAAGCTTAAAAACCAGTGAGCTTGATCTGCATTTTTAAAGTGTCTTTCTTGTTATGTACAAGAGTGTCTTCCTGTAGGAAAGTGCGAACTTTGTAGAAATGTAATGATTTGGCCATGTAACAGCTTCAATGCGTGTTAATGAAGTGCTTTGATTTCCCAAATTCTGAGAATATTACAATATCCACTGTGTCTACTATTATCCTTATTTCTATGAAACTAAGCAGTGGGATGTCGAGGTGAAGGTCACATTAATGCCAGTAAATGACTTAACACACTTGATAGTCCTCACTGCTACGTGTGCAATCTGCAACTAAGTGACGCCTGTGAGATTTTATTGCAAGATAACTTTAGTGCTACGCGCTATTAAATAAGGTTTGGCATTTTGGACTTCTAAATGTATCTTGAACATGAGTATAATTATTTCATAGCCGTGTGCATCCTTGGATTTCATGTCTCTTGTTTTTTAGGGGCAAGCATCTTCTGGATCATCTTTATAAAATTTCACAGGTTGCTCAAATGAAAGATTTCCACTTCTCTTCTGCAGTTCACAGTTGCTAAAATATAAAATCTTAATGGAAAAGTCCTGTTCTCCTTAAAACATCCCATTACTTCCTCTATGAACATGCACACTGGATCTATGCAGGCTTTTTGAGAATAGAGTTGAAGTGCATTAAGCTAAATATTAGAGCAGTGAACTTGGCAGAAACGGGGACGGGGAAAGTGAAAACCCTTCTGTAAGGTACAACCCTGCATCTGAGTGACTCTGAACACATTCTCAGTGTGTGTTGGGAGCTCTGAGACATTCCTTCCCCTTCTTCCTTGCAGTGCTTGGTCTTTTGTGCCACCATTAGAAAGAAAACTAATTCATTGACATGTTATCGAAGATATAAATCTCAAAATGTTTAGAAAACAGCCTGTTTGTTCTAACTTTGTGGTAAATGGTGAAAATATTCCCTTCTGTTCTGAATCACGCTCAATGCTACGTTCAAGGTGCTGCATTATTTGCCCCCAAAAGGGAACTCACGAGTGTCAGCAAGTTTTACTCTCCCCTCCCAGTGGGACCTCTATTAAGTTATCTCGTAACACCAGGGATGTAGTTGGTCCAGAAATGGATAAAACATGGAACGTGCATGTGGAATACTGGGAAGCAGAGGACAGAATATAATCAGAAAAAAAACAGGAAAACAGTTATTTCAGTTAAAGGTGTGACATCCACAGCAGAACGCTTTGCATCTCATAAGCAAGGAAAGGGTGTTTTGCATGCATCAGGTAGCCCAAGAAGCTGTATAAAAGGATTTGCAAACCAGCGCTTTCTATCCTCTTCACCTCTTTTACTCTCTGTAATAAAACAGGTATGTCCGATTAAACTTGATCTCTTTTTAACTATGGGGATACTGTGTTGAACAGTATTTTAACATTGGGATGGAATCTTGCCTATATACTTTGCAATATTTTAGGCTATTAAGGGGTACTATAGAACTGCAGAACCTTTCCAAGGAAAGGCAGGAAGTTGACAGACAAATGGGAAATTTGGTATGGTCTTATGTTCTTATTTTTCATCAGTTGTTGGGTGTTTGAATCATGGACTCAGACTGACATACTTCACACCCAGCTTTTTACTTAGTTGTGTACAGAAACCATTCCTCAGTGGATTCTTTTTAAGTTTTCTTCCTGCTTTCAGAAGTAAGTGCTACTTGGCATGACTGGAGACAGGACAGAATTGTAACAAAACCCCTTTTCTGATGCACTGGGTTTGTGTGTGTGTGACTAGAAATATCAGGTGCTACAACAGCTTCTTTTTCATGCATCCATTAGCAAACTTGTTGGCTCACAAAGGGTCAAGCACCAAGAATTTTCTTCACATGTCCAGGCCTCACCATGCATGAAATATTTTCAAGTATGGATGGGAAGTAGAGCTCGTCCCCACAAAAAGGCCTGGGTTCCCCAGTTTCATTAAGTGCTTTGAGGATAAGTGGGCTGGAGAGGGGCTGATTCGCAGAGCAGCTTAAGGGGACTGGAGCAGGACACTGAGAAGAAGAACTGGGACCCAACATGTGACCAGAAGCAGAGGGATTTGATCATGAAATCCCTGATCTGTCTCTAAGTTGGCCTTTCTAGGGCTGTCATTACAACCATCAATGAGGCTTGACTCTTAAAGCACTGTACCTTCTGCATAGCTCAGGGTCTTTCCCTTGTTTTTGTTGCAGTTGGTGGGTGGCAGGCAGTAGGGAGCCCATTTGGAGGCTGCCATTTCAAGGGCATTTTGGACACTCATGGCCAGAGTTAGAGGGACCAGCTGAGCTGATGCTGTACCATGTCTTGTGCAAACTGTGGGTGTGCGCAGTCAGGAGTGACAATGAAATTCCCAAGTTATTTGTGCAGGGCGTCCTTAGTTCACACAAAGAGACTCAAGCTCCTACAATCATGTTCAAAATACCTCCTACACCTGTTCAAAATAACCAGTCCAGTTTCATGCACACTTATCACCAGTTTAAGCCCATGCACGCTACTCACACCACATTAAGACAGAATCAGTTACTTGTTACCAACACCTGCACATCCAATACACATATGTGGTTTGCTAATTTATATACCACACACACACACACAATGATATCTATAAATATATGTGTATTCACTAATTTACACACATACCACCCACCTACACATATACACAGGTGAATTCCTAAGTTGGGTGTTGTGATCTGTATGTATGCATGTGCTTGGTGTACTTGAGATACTTGGGGAAAGGTTAACATAAGAAAGTAGAAGTGTAGGGAGTTAAAGTTACTGGAAAGGAAAGTCACCGGGACCAGGATTAGAACTGGTACACTACAGGGGCCTGGGTTGAAGAACTGAGGCTGGGGGTAACTTTAGATTAATTGATCTTAATTGATTAAAAGAAAATGGCCAAAGCCTGCAGAACAGGGAAGCATGGGGGCACAGAAGCTAGGACTGGAGCCAGAGCTAAGGAAGAGCTGAAAAGGTAGGTGGGGAGAGGGGAAAATGGGACTAAGGGAAAGTGTGGGTGTTAAAGAGGGGCTCTGGGTGTGGGGAGCCAGAGGATGGCTCTGCAGCAGCTAGAGAAGTTTCAGGTAGCAGCAGTAGGTGCTGGAAGCTGGAGCAAGGCTCCAGCTGCTGGCTAATAGAGCTGGGAAGCTGCAGGGGGGCGGAGCCTGAAAAAAGAGATAGACGCATAGCAGAAAATCACAGGAAAAGCAGCAGGCAGTAGGGCAGCAGGAAAGCAGAGAAATTCAGAGAAAGTCATAGGGAAAAGGCAGTAGGAGCAGGGGAGGCTGAGAGGTGGCACAAAAGGGGAGATGGAATTGGGAGGAGATCGGGAAGCTAGCAGACAGGGTGGGGACTGGAGCTGAGAGAGAGAATGAGGCTGGAATTTAATATAGGGAAGGGACTGGGATTCAGTAAAACATGACCCAGCTCGGGGTTGCAAATGACAGTGGTTTTATTGAACAGGGGAGATGGTGACAATGCCAAATTGGTTCCCTTGCACCCACACCCACAATGGCAGCAGGGGTTAGAGAGGCCTGGTGCAGGGGCTAAAAGCCCCTGAAGGCCCGGAGGGG